GGATCTTAGAACAGGGGATGTCTGAGCTGGGAGGGATCTTAGAGCAGGGGATGTCTGAGCTGGGAGGGATCTTAGAGCAGGGGATGTGTGAGCTGGGAGGGATCTTAGAGCAGGGGATGTCTGAGCTGGGTGGGATCTTAGAGCAGGGGATGTCTGAGCTGGGTGGGATCTTAGAACAGGGGATGTCTGAGCTGGGAGGGATCTTAGAGCAGAGGATGTCTGAGCTGGGAGGGATCTTAGAACAGAGAACGTTACTGAATAATTCCCATGGGACAAAGTGTCAATTGGTGATCTTTTCTGGGTGTATGGGGGGTGCAGCATCTGCCTCGAAGACAGACTTGGTGGTACCTGGAGTGTAATCTGGCTATCTGCCTTTCCCAGCCTGGTTCCCATAATCTGCGCCCCCGGAGCTTCCTGTCCCCCACCAAGTGTCTGAGATGCACCTCGCTCATGCTTGGCCTCAGCCGCCAGGGGCTGGCCTGTGAAGGTGAGCCACCCTTCTCCTGCCCAGACTCCAGAGCTCCCTCCTGGTACTATGCGCCTTTCTCCCTGCCCTGCCCCGCCCCACGCCCTGGCTTCATTACTGTCCCTTCTGTTTCTCCCGCACCCCCCAGCCTGCAGTTACTTCTGCCATTCTGCCTGTGCCCCTCTGGCTCCTCCCTGCCCTGTGCCCCCTGAACTCCTCCGGACAGTCCTGGGCGTCAACGCTGAGACTGGCATCGGTACAGCTTATGAGGGCTTCCTGTCGGTGAGTGGGGCCCTGGGAGGGGTGGGGTCAGGAAGGACGGACTCAGGGCTGGCTCAGGCGTGGCCCCCCTGATCCTCCTCCCCTACCTAGGTGCCGCGCCCCTCGGGGGTGCGCCGAGGCTGGCAGAGGGTGTTTGCCATGCTCAGCGACCTCCGCCTCCTCTTATATGACGCCCCTGACCCGAAGCTCTGCCCCACGAGTAGCGCCCTCATCCAGACGCTGGACTTGAGGTGGGTAAGGGTTAGGGCAGGGAGGTCTGGGCATGGATAAGGGCCTGCAGGATAGACATCTGGGAGATGGTGGCGAGGGCCAGAGGCTGTGGGAGGGAAAGAAGGATGGAGGCTAGCAGCTGGGAGCGGAGAGCCCCTGAGGCTAGGGCTCCATGAGTCCATCAACCAGGAGGGAGGTGTCCGGGGGGAGTGCCCCCATGCCAGTCAGCCTTGTTATAGATGAGCAAGGACACGCTCCTCCAATCTGTGGCTGGTCTGGTCGGTCCTCCGCCACAGGGCTCCGGAATGGCTGGAAAGAGTAGGGATGGATTGCAGAGACTCCGGAGGGCCCGAGGCCAGCCCCCTCTGGGGCATCGCTGAGCAGGGCTCAGCCGGCCCTACAGCTCTCTGCCAGGGGGACGCTCACCTCGTCAGGGCCTTAAGGCTCCAGTCAGGGGCCTGTGCCCATGACCGCCCTCCAGATACCTGAGGACAGCCCTCTTGAGCCTTCTTTGGTATGCCACGGCCAGGTCTTGGGTTCAGATGGTCATTGTCACAAACCCAAAGCAGGGGAGGCCCAATATCCCTGTCTCCTTCTGGGCTACAGAGCCCTCTTCTCTTATCTGTGAATGGCTGTGTCCCCTGTAGGATAGAAGCTCCTTGAGGGCAGGCACAGCCTCCCTCTTGTATTTGTAGCCCTGCTACTTGGTGCATAGACAGCAGGTGCTTAATAAATCATTGACAAAGGCATGTCTAGACAACAACCCCTGTGAAAAAGACCCAGAGGTCAGAGTGGGCAGCAAGTTCTCCCAGCATTTGAGTCCTCTTGGGATGGGGCAGCAACAGAAGCCGATGGTGCTATTGGGATGCATTCAAAAGTGGGGGTGGAGCCAAGATGGCGGAGTAAAAGCAGTGACTTGCTTGAGCTCTCCCCCAGACCCCTCCAAATACCTGTAAAAAATGCCGAGCTTCCAGAACTAGGGAGGTGACCATCCTTCAGCATCCTGGAGAGCTGTGGGCACTTCCGGGCTGGGTGCCCCATTGTATTTTAAATTTTCAAGGAGCAGCTATAGGTGGCACAGTGGATAGAGCTCCAGCCAGGAGGCCCTGAGTTCAAATCTGACTTCAGACACTTGACACTTACTAGCTGTGTGACCCTGGGCAAGTCACTTAACCCCAATTGCCTCACCAAAAAGCAGAAAAAAAAAAATTTAAAATCGGTTGATGTCTTTGTTTGGCCATGCCCTACTTTTCCCAGTGTATCCTGTACCCCACTGCCTCCCAGAGAGCCAGCCTTCATAGCAAAGAATAAAGAAGGAAAAAATAAAACGAAGCAAAAGCAGACACATCAACTAAGTCTGACATTGTATGTTGTATTCCACACCTGTAGCCCCCCACCTCTGCCAGAAAGGGAGGGAAGTTGGCATTACCTTCCAGGAAAGACATTGATAAGCTGGTCCAGGAAGAACTTGTCCAGAGAGGGTGAAGGTCCTGGAGACCCTTGGTGGGAGGATTCATTGGAGGACCTAAGAATGTTTATTTGGAGAACAGAGGAATTGGGGGCTCTGCCTCTTTGGGACCCCATTTGGAGTTTTCTTGGCAAAGACACTGCAGCGGTTTGCCATTTCTTTCTCCAGCTCATTTTACACATGAGGAAATTGAGGCAAGCAGGGTGAAGTGACTTGGCCAGGGTCACACAGCTAGGAAGTGTCTGAGGCTGGATTTGAACTCAGGGAGATGAGTCTTCCTGACTCCAGGCCCGGCACTCTGTGCACTATGGCGCCCCCTGGCTGTCCCAGCCAGGAAGTCTCTGAAGGGAGTCACTTGGAATGGCTTAGCTTTGCTCTCAGAGGCAACTGTAGACCTGATGTCATGTCCAGCTCCAGGACGTTACTGATGCCCCACAACAACTCGGCTGCCTCTGACAAGGTGGGCTCTGTCGATCTCAGTCCTGTGCCTCAATGGCCCCTTCTCAGGGACACCATCAAGGGGATTTCTCTTTAAATGGGCATTCGATGCCTCTGAGATTCTGGGCTGACGGCCGACCACCAGGAGGGTGCGGCTGGGCGGAGGGGAGAGGCGTGGGTGGAGGCTGGGGACCAGGAAATGAGAAGGGGAGGTGCCATCCCTCCTCTCTGGCTCTCAGGGACCCCCGGTTCTCAGCCGCCCCAGTCCTAGCATCAGATGTCATCCATGCACAGTCCCGGGACCTACCGCGCATCTTCAGGGTGAGTGCTTGTAAAGAGAGACGCTGGGCCGTGGTCCTCTCCCCAAACTGCTCCCGGGGCTGGTTGTCCAGACCTTCAGTCCTGGGTAGTCCCCACAGGCCCCACTTCCAGCTGTCACAGGTGGGCAGCCACGGGGTGGGATGGGCAGAACCCTGGTCCGAGCGTCTCGCCCGCCCATGGGGTGGTTGAGATAGTGGATCAGACCCTCCCCACCCTACGCACCCTGGGGTTCCCCACCACCTTCATCTCCAACCTGCTTTCCCCTCAGGTAACGGCATCTCAGCTGACCGTCCCCCCGACCCTGTGTTCCGTGCTGCTCCTGGCCGACAGTGAGGCGGAGAGGGCCCGCTGGCTGCAGGTGCTGGGGGAGCTGCATCGCCTCCTGACGGACATGCGGCCCCGGCCTCTCCCCATCTACACCCTGAAGGAGGCCTATGACAACGGGCTGCCCCTGCTACCCCATGCCCTCTGCGCGGCCATCATTGGTGAGCCTCCTCCCTGGGTGTGGGCTCCCCACCAGAGCACAGTGTGCTGTGGAGGGGGCGGGGTCAGCGCAGGGGCAGTGGGGAAGGGGCAAGGCCAGCCTGGGCACGGCCAATGGGGAGA